ATTCGGGGGCCCCCCCGGGGGTCCCCCCCCCCCCCCGCCCTGGAGGGGGGAGACGGTGCGTGCCCCGGCCTGCTCCCGCCGAAGTTGTTACCACCGTACACCGAGGGGGGTGAATAGCCGGCGCCCCCGCCGCCGTAGGGGGGGAACCCCCCGCCTATTTCTTCCGCCAGGTAGGCGTGGGGGTTGTGGTCGGGTGGCGGTCCTGGGAAAGGTCCGTGGGTTTCCAGGGCGGTGAACCAGAGGGGCACCTGGTTGGGGGGGCGGGGGCGGGGGGGGGGGAGGGGTGCACTCTGACGTTTTGCATGCCTTGGCGGTTGCGGTTAGACCATTGACCACGCATCCTCGAGAAGTTGGAGGGGGGGAGGGGGTGCCTTGTAATACTTCGTCATGTCTTTGCTGACCACACTACACTTTGCCGCATCCCTTTTCACGATGCACAGATGTCAGGGAGTGAAATAGAGCCGTCAGAGCTCCTAATGCTTACAATAATAGAGTACTGTACATAGACACCTCCAACATTGAATGCAGGAAGCAGGGATGTGTCGGGGGGTACTCGAGTTCCTGTCATGGAAATCGTAAAGGGAGAATGAGAAGCGAATCTCTGCGTACTCTGCTATCTTAGAGAATGCGAGCGTGCGCGGGTGGTGGTAGATGTGGCAAATGCGGCCGCAGAAGTGCACAACGAAACAACAGAACCCCTCCCCCCCCCCCGAAAGCAAAACGCCTGGGAGAAGAACAGCTTCTGGTTCATCCTTGCGAAACGTACGTTTCGCCTGGGCCGGCGAAAACCCGGCATTCATTTCGCTCCATCCCGGCAGTGTATAGATGCGAGGTCTAACGACTACGGCATGCATTTACATGAGTACACCAACGAACCCACTCAAGCGCTAAAGAAGGGGAGACACTCAAGCGTACGAAAGCAAAACAAGAGAAAGACAACCAAGCGCACCAAAACATACGAGAAGAAAGACACTCGAGGCGTACAAAGGCACAACAAGGCGAGACCACCTGAAGCGCTCAACAGCACAACAAGAGGAGACCTCAAGCGCTCAACGGCACAACAAGAGAAGACCGCTCAAGCGCTCAACAGCAAAAGGAACGAGAACAGACACCGCCGCCGCCGCCGCCGCCGCCGCCGCCACCGTCGTACCAGGCGCATCGCCAAAATAACGGCTCTCACCTTTCGGACCTTGACCCGATACCACTCGGGCACGCCCACCGCCCTCTTCGACTTCGATCGCGGCTTGTCGTCCACCTTCGGCCTGCTCCCGAAAGTGCCCCGGGTTCCCTTTCGTGGAGGCCTGGAAGAAGAGTCCAGAGCATCCTCCTGGGGATTACACGTACGTGGGAGGGGGGGGGGGGTAGGGGGGGTACTCATGTAAATGCATGCCGTCGTCGTTGGACCCATTGACCTCGCATCCTTGCAATGCCGGGACGGAGGAGCGATATGAAGGGTTTTCGCCGGCCCTGGCAACGTATCGCAAGGACGACCCAGAAGCTGGGGAGGGGGCGTGCTCATGTTCCGCACAACTTAGCTGATAGACCCTTGATCACGCGTCCTGGAGGGGACGGAGAGTTGATCCCGCAAGACTGATCGCCGGTGGCCAATCGTCCCTTCCTATTTTCGCTTCCACCCTTATCGGCTGCTATCTCGACCAAAAAAACATGGCTCACCGGCACCGAACCCAGAGAGGAGGAGGACGAATTGCCGGGGCCAGACACCGCGAGCAAGTTGGGGTTCCGGGCGATGGCGTGGTTGACGATGTGCTGGTACTTGGAGTATTTTTCGATGCACCTCATGTAGCCGCAGTCCGTCCACGCCTTCGTCAGGCCAGCTACCCACGGTGGCGGGTCTCCCTGGAGCTGTATTCATTTTATTATACGCAGCAGAGGTTGTTGTTATCGTTACTGTTGTTGTTGTTGTTGTTGGTGTTGGTGGTGGTGGAGACGGAGACACATCATCAGTGGATGAAAATGTTGTCGTCGTTATAATGACGTGGGTTCCAAAACGTCAAGGCGCTGTGCCGCACGGGTTCGTGTACCTTATCGTAGACACGGATCGGTCGATCCCAGCCAGTAAAACGACGGAATACCAACGAGCTGATCGAATGAAATACGCTTGGTAGCGCATAACATACAAAAAAAAACAGGGTTGTGGCGAATGCGGGAGAAGGAACAGCTAAACCCCAAAAAAGACGCATCCAGTAGACCACAGCCAACCTTGATCCCTTGCAGCTTGTTGGGGGGAGCCCTCTAACGCAACCAGCAAACACACGCACCATTTCCCTTGATTGGTGCGATCTACCAAGATTCCGAGAACAACAGCAGTCATTTGCGCATCACGGCAACCTTTTCTATCGATTCCCTGAACATGAGCTCGAGTGCAGCGAGGTGTGGTTTTGATCTATCCCAAGACCCAACACAAAAGCAAACAGCCACACCTACTTCTAACAAAACAACCGACCTTGAGCTCGAGAAAACAGCGAACGCCTGCACGACTTGTGGCGTGGCCTTTTCTGCCCCCGACACCCCTCTCCAACCCACCCATTAACCCACGAAACAACGAATAAACAACACTGACCTAACTCGAGAACGGGCGAGGCTTGGCGTTGCAGTAACTACCACCCCTCCCCACGCCCCCCCACTACCTTCTCCGTCCTGGCATTGTGGGGATGCAAGGTCAATGGTCTAATCACTACGGCATGCGTTTGCATGAGTACCCCCCCCCAAAACTCCCCCCCCAAAATGGCCTAACGACTACGGCATTAGTTTACATGAGTACCCCACCCTCCCCCAAAACATAAACATACTCACCTTCAGCTCGAGAACAGCGAACGGGAACGGCTTGTGATCCTCCTGGCCCTGGGCAGGCTGCGACAGCCCGCGGCTCAGGAACGAGTCCCAGAAGAACTGGTCGGCCAGGGGGGCGTTGGCGCCCGACCCCCGCTGGCCCAACGCCTCCGGCGGCGGCATCGCAAACCCGACGAGGGGAGAGTCGAGCGTGACCCGGACCTCGTTGCTCGAGGACAGCTGGAAGGCCGTACGGTGCACCTGTGGTTGTTTTTGCGGCGGAATAGTAATGATTTGGGGGGGGGGAAGTGGTGGGTTGTTCTCACTTTCTTGTACCAGTTGTCGTAGTCTTCGGCATGGTTGTTTTTGCGGCGGAATAGTAATGATTTGGGGGGGGGGAAGTGGTGGGTTGTTCTCACTTTCTTGTACCAGTTGTCGTAGTCTTCGGCATGGTTGTTTTTGCGGCGGAATAGTAATGATTTGGGGGGGGGGAAGTGGTGGGTTGTTCTCACTTTCTTGTACCAGTTGTCGTAGTCTTCGGCATGGTTGTTGTTGCGGCGGAATAGTAACGATTGGGGGGGGCAGTGGTGGGTTGTGATCACTTGCTGCTGCTGCCGTCGTCGTCGTCAATTTCGTGGTGTTCACGGGTTTATTGGTCTAGAGGATTGTTGCTATCAATTTCTTGTACCAGTCGTCGTCGTCGTCTTCGTCATCCTACGTTGATTTTCACGGGGACTCGGTTGCGTGTAAACACCTTGGATGATGGCCTTACTCGTTTCTTTCTGGGCGACAGCAACAGCAACAGCAACACCATCACCAACACCAACAACAACAACTACCTCACCTCCGTGACGAGCAGCGGTCGTATCCTCTTCCCCATCACCAGCCGCTGCACCTCCTGCGCGAGGGCCAGCTTCTCGATGAGCGCCTTCCGAGTCTTGGCCGTCTTCGCGTCTACGGGGGGCCCCGTGTCTTCCTTGGACTTGGACTCCACCCCCCCCCCCTCACCGGGCACGCCGGCGCGGAGGGAAGGGAGCTGTGCCACCTCCGCCTCGTCCAGCTCGATCATGGCGGACTTCTTTCCCTCGAAGAACTTGAGGACGATGGTTGGTTGAGAGCGATGTGAGGTAGGGGTTGGTGAACCAACCGTCTGTCTCGGTAGGAGAGGTAGGACGGGGTTGGCGGACTGTCTCTCTCCTCAACAAACTTCGTGCTCAAGGTACATGTACGTTTTTGTTTCACGAGTTTTGTAGGGGGGGACGGTGGACGGGGATGGGGTGTTATGACGTGAGAGAGCCGACCACCTACTTCGGCCGAGGGGATAGATAACGATGCGTGCTCACGAAGGAAAATCTTCCTAGATAAACAGCGTAGACCAATCAGCAAAGCAGGAATTGGCGGGTTTTATTTTTCTGCATCCATTTTTCAGTCACTCCCTTCGTTGTGCTCAGGTGGTGCGATCGAGTGAACGTGGGTGGTGGCCAAGGAGTATCTCTGCGTCGCGTTTCCCTTTCGGAGGTTTATGCTGCCGCGGCGCCGGGACTCCGAACCCACGCCGCGAACGCGAAAACATCTCTAGCCAGAGCACAATCCGACGGGCGAGGGTGCGGGGTTTTGGGGGGAGGGCCCGTATAAATTTGCGCTTCCTCGGGGACAGATGCCGGTGTGTCCGCTACCTCGCCTCCGAGAAACAGCAACTACAAAACCAACAGTTACCAACAACCGCAGCAGCAGCCCCCTCTATCCGACTCGCGCTGAAAGCCGACACAATTTCAGTCTCACCCCCGTGAGCTCGGAGTTCCGTATCTTGAAGCGGCGTTTGACGCTCTTGTCCCCCGTCCAGGCCTCGTGGTGCGTCTTGAGCTCCACGAAGGCGCACTCCGAGTCCTTGAGGTGGGGGGGGGGTTGCGTGTCCCGCGGGCCCCCCTGCAGCACGGCGTGGTCCAGCTGGGGGCGCCCGTACCTGCACACGCGGATGGTTGTGGAGTTTAGCGGGAAGAGAAGCAGCAGCACGCACGGAAAGCGGCCGTTTGTGTCTTGCGTTCCGGTGGAACTCAGGGATACTTTCGCTTCGGGAACAGAAACAAAGCGGGATCAGGAATTCAATATGGGTCCTGTTGCGTGTGCTTCGCGTGTGGCAGGCACACGGTGGGGATGCAAGCGGTCGGTTTCTTGAATTTTCGGGGGTGAAACTCACGATGTAGACTTTCTCTCCCTCTCTCTCTGCCCTTCTCCTTCTTTCGCTCTCTTCGTCTCTTTATCAATCTCTCTCTATCTCTATCTCTCTGCCCCCCTTTCCTCTCGAGGACGCGTGGTCAATGGCAGTAACAGCTAAGGCACGCAAAGCACGAGTGAGTACGCCCCTCTCTCAATCTCTACCCCCTCCCCCCCCCCTCTCACTGCCCCCCTTCCTTCTCACCAGCGAATGCGGAGCAGATTCGCGCCCTCCTTAAGCACCACGCGGTCGTGGTACAGAGGGAGGTTGTTGTTGGGGCAGTCGAAGTACAGCGACGTGATGGCCCCGGGGGTCATGCTGTAGGCATCCAGGTTCTCGAAGAAGTCGATCGTCGGCGGGGGGGTAGGGGTGTGCAGCTCCAGGATGGGCAAGTGCCGCAGGAGCATCGCCTTCACCTCCGCAACCTGAGCGTGAACAGTGCCGATGCGGGGTGATTAGTGTCGGTTGGCACAGAATGAATGATCACCAGCTCAGTCTGTGATTTGAATAGTTGCCGGTGTCCGGTATCCGTAGTGCCGTTTTTTCGGCTGGCGTAAGACTGAACCATCGTCGTTTGATTTTGGCATCCTCTTCCTTGCCGTGGAGTAATCAAATCGAGCATTGAAATTCCGTCCATGGGTTGTGGTATCTTGCTAAACCTACGGTACTGAAATATTTCAACAAGAAAAAGAGGCTCAAACTCCCGCAAACAACAAGAAATAGGGCAAAGAAACACAGCTCAGCGGTGGACCCTAGACTAAACTCTACCATGTAACAACCTGTGCTCGACAGTAATAGTGGCGATGGGATATGAAACTGACGACGACCCATTTTCGACGTTTTTTGTCTCATTGCCCGTTCTGTATACATACATCGCATCGAACCTACGTACAACTACGGGCAGATCACATCGTTCATAGGATTCGGAGCATGTCAGCAGCAACACCACCAATACCAACATGTCGCCGTCGAAGGCAATACCACAGCAACAGCAACACCGCTGCGAACCAGCACAGCCAACAACAATCAATCGCCGTGGCAGGCAAAACGGGCCCTAACCTTGTGCGGGTGCACCCAGAACTTGTTGGTGGACCTCTCGAACGATGCCGGCGGGTTCCACGGAACCTTGGGCACTTCCGCCTCCTTGCACGCCCAGTAGACGCGGCTGCATTATTGTAGGCAAGAATAATAGAAAAAGAAAGATTGAAGATGAAAAAAATAACGGGCAAGAGGCAACGGCAGCTCGCCCGCTAGACGCGGCTGCCACGAAAAAAAAAAAGCGGACAGAGGCGACAACAGCAACACTTCTTGAGAACATCTCGCTATGCTCCCCAAAGCCTTGGGAATCTCTTGTCTCTGTGGGGCACCAGCACCCATGATTCTTGATTGTGAAAGACTGGAAGAAGATCTAGCCATGACAAAAGAAGAAAGAAAGCGACATCGACTGCTGCGGCGTAGAACTTGACGAAGAATGCTCACGACACCCGAGATAACCCGTGCTCTCACCCGGTGAGGCTAGCCGCCCCCCCTTCCACTACTCCCTCCGCTCCAAACATCTCACGACACACGCGCCGAAAGCATCACGCCCACCCAATGTCATGAGAAAAAACAACAACATACCTCCCCGCCCGATTACACCGCCTACCCCCGTAGCTTCCGCGCTAGCGCATTGAACCCCCACCCACTCTTAGCCGCTGAAGCATTCCCCGCCTGTGCTGTACCCCTCTCTCCCTTCGCCCCGTCTCGAATCCGTACGCGGCCAATGACAACTATGACTATAATGAGGCAAGAAACACACCGACACGACTGCCCCCCCCCCCCTGCCTGTCGCGGGCCCCCCACCTGAAGTGCACGAGCAAGGGGTGCACTATCCTGCGGGACAGGAAGATAAACTGCTCCCCGTGTATGACGTCGAACCACAGGGTCGACTGTCCGGTCCTCTTCCGGTACTTCTTCACGGCCTGCGTTGGTTTGTTTGTTTCGTTTCGGGTTTTCACGTTTTCACACACAGCACGCACACGCACGCACGCAAGCCTTTCCATACGCACAAGTTGGCGACAGTTGTCTCGCAGCGAGCACCACGAGAAGAAAGGTACTGTAGTAGCAGCAGGCGTCTTGCATGCTCGCTTAGGTGGACGCTACACACCGCACTGCTATCGGTGTCGGGTGTGCCGTTGTTTTCTCTCTCTTTGTGATTCAACCACGTGCATTATCCTTCGCCCACAAAAGTAGAGTAAAACGAGAAACACATAGTTCACCTACTAGATACTTGAAGTATATACCGTACCACGACCGGGCGGAAAAACAACAACAGCCATCGATAGTGTTTCGTGTTTACTTGCAACCGGCTACGAGGAGATCGAATGACACCAAACAACACACAAAACAAGACAAAAGATACGGGACGATAAACGGGCCGACCCGACCCGTCGGCTGAGCCCCCACTACGAGCGTGGCGGGGGGGCGGGAGGTGTACTCATCAAAACGCATACTGTAGCCGTTAGACCGTTGACTTCGTGTGTGTCCCAGGACGGAGCGATATGCCGGGTTTTCGCCGGCTCAGGCTGCGTTTCACAAGGATGAAGCAGAAGCTGGTCATCATACTCGCGTTTGCTGTCCCCAAAACCAGATATGCCTTGGGTTGATCGAGTATCCCGGCAAACCAAGCGTTCCACATTCGACAGGCACGGCTACTAACTTTTCTGGGTCCTACCTTCCGAACGGCGTTGCTGTTGAGGTCCGTGAAGGCATCGAAGACCGTGATCTCCTTGGACACCTGGTTGCTCATGCGCTCGAGGGTGGCGCCGGCGGGTGTATTCTCCTCCAGCTGGGTGATCAGCTGGAGGGCCTTGCCCAGGATAACCCTTGCGAACTCGTTCACCTGCGATATTGGTTGGAATGGATTGGGCGAGGTGTGTGCGGTCGTTGTTCTGCCGTGGCGACCGCGCTACATACGGGGCTTCGCCAATGAAAAAATTGCTAAGTCTTGCGAGGGAAAACCACACGTTCGCATGTGTGCGCACCGCCCATGTCACAGAACGCCATCAATTCTGGCTGGATTTCCTGTGTTGGCCGTGGCGAGGCTTGTATACAGGAGCATTCCCCCCCCCACCCCCCATCGCTTTTACCACAGAGAAACGAGAGGCATGTAACGAAGCGCAGTCAGGAAGGAACACGTGCGAGAAATCAAGCGTCCTGAACGGGTGGCGCCGAAGCTTGTGCCGTAGGTGACATGACGTAATATACACACACCCTGGACGATTTTCGAAGCTTGACTACTCTGCAGGAACGGCAGCGACGGCGCCGACCTGGGCAGCGTTGGAACCGTCTCGTCAAGAGATTTCTGAAAATGTATCCTTTGATTTCGGAATCCTCTTCGCCGTGGAGCAATGGAGATTTGAAAGTGGGCCCAAGGAGTGCGGTATCTTATTCAAGGTACCGTAACCCTCCATCAGAACATCTCCTTCCTAAACCCCAGCAGTGGTTTTGACGGTTGCCAGTGGCGGAATATCCACGGGTATTCCAAGAAACAAAAGTGTCTCTGGTTGGTGTTTCTCGCCTACTAGGGGCTACACAGGCACGGGACGGACTCGAACCTAGGGCGGATACAGCTCGTATTGACGACTACCATACGCTCCCAAAACGTTTTGACCCCCCTGAGGAGGATTTTCTTCTTTTCCGAGAGGGAAGAGAGTGCTCTTCTCGCGTTAAAAACCGAAGGCAAGAACTATGGAAGATGACATATATACAGCGTAGTATAACCCTAACCGTAACCCTAACCCTACGCTATATATATATATGTCATCTTCCAGAGCAATCACCACGGGAGGGGTGGGTTGACGGCCTCAGGTAGAGGAAACCCTTCCGTGCGACCGACTGACCACGGATTGGACCTACCTCCTACCCGGCAGAAAAGGCTCTCTGTGTGTGAGCGCTGATTTAAAGTGACGGACAAAAACAATAGAGCCCCCGACCGACCCTTCGCAAAAACAGGCAGATAGATGCGGGACTGCCTGCGCAAAGAGAGAAAGTTTACTACGAAAAAACACCGGGCTGGGAGCACGTAGACTCTAACCCTAACCCTAATCCCTCCTTCATGCCGTATGTTTGCTAACTTACAAAAACCTTCGCAGGCTACTACTGTAGATGCGAGAGTCGAACGGCACACGTGCCGGCGGAAAGAAAGCGAAGCGACGCACCTTCTCGAGTTCCGAGAGCACCAGGGCGGCGAATCCCTCCTCCGTCTCCCCCCGGGCTCCGCCTCTCTTCAGCCGCGAGATGTACGACTTCATCTCCTGCAGAATAAACGATCAACCACACGGACAGCCCGAGGGCGTGTCAAGAACAACAAGAAGACACCTCGGGTTTGAAAGCGTTGCCGAAACGGTCAATCACACGCGGCGGGCGTTCGTGTAAAGAGGAAGAACAAACATTGTGTTTGGAATAGTTGTCGTGGTTGATCGTGATGTTGCTGCTGCTGCTGCTGCAGTCGTTGTTGCTATTCTGCTGATGGTGCTGGTGGTGTAATCGTCGTCATGGTCGATAGGTGCCGTTGTGGTTTGAGCAGGTTGCGCCTCACGAACGTCTAGCCGCGTGCATCCAAAAACATTGTGTTATTTGCCATGCTCGCATTTATTTCACCTACCGTCCGCAAAAAGAAAGAACGTGGTGCGATTTGGGGTATCGGTCAAGTGGTGGGATGACGAGCTGAAGAATAAATAGGCGAACGTAGAGAAGTCTTCAAGCAGTACCTGAATAAGGGTTTGCGAAAAATACAGGGCCCAGAGAAAACAGGTGAAGGGGCTAGTGAAAAAGAAGAAAAAGTGCATTTAGGACGAAGTAGTGCAGAAGGCCAACGGAGGCCTGGAGCGGAACGTCAAGCAGCTGTGGCAAGGGATTAGTAGGATGGTAAAGTACCACGTAGGGGGGGGATAAAGGATAGAAACTTTGCGAGGTGTGAACGGTGGACTTTTCAGCAGCGGGAAGGGAAAAATGCAAGTTTTAGCAGGACACTACAAGAGACTTGGAGTGTCGTAGAAGAATGAAGCTTTTGACCAAGTGCTTAAGAAGGGGGTGGGCAAATGGGCCAAGGAAGAAGAAGAAACATCGAAGGCAGACGTTGGGAACGTAGAGCTAGAGAAGGAGTTCACTGAGGACGAGGTGGAGACTGGTGTGAACAAGCTGCAGTGCCACAAAGCAGCAGGGGCGGATGGGATAGTCTACGAGTTCATGAAATTTGGTGGTACGGGGATGATCCAGCTGATTGTACTGTGTGGAAAAACGAGTATGCGCCGAGTAGATGGAGGGAAGGAGTGGTTGTGAACTTGTATAAGAAAGGAGACAAGACTGACCCAGGAAACTACAGGGGGGTCACACTGTTGAACACAGTAGGAAAAGTGTTCTGCAAGCTGCTGAACGATAGCATAGTGGGAGCATTGGAGAAGGAATGTACGATAAGTGGGGGCCACGCAGGTTTCCGAAAGAAGAGACGGTGCATAGACCACGCATACACGTTAGGGAGAATCATCCAAGGTAGAAAGAGGGAGGGGAAGCCGACGTACTACTTCTTCCTGAACGTGCAGAAGGTATACGATGCAGTATGGAGAAATAGGCTGTGGAAACAATTGTCCAAGTACGGGATCAAGGGGAAAATGTGGAGCGTACTGAAGAAGATGACAGAGTGTACGAAAAGCGCGTTCACACTAGACCGAGAACTGTCTAAATTCTTCAACATTGAACATTGGGTCCCACAAGGTTGCACTTTGCCCCCAACATTGGTCCAGGTGTTCATCAACGATCTGTTGAAAGTCGTAGAAGTAGTCGAGAAGGGAGTAGAGGTAGGGGAAAGCACGGTGTCGGGAATGCTGTTTGTGGATGACTTTGTTGGGGTGTCTGACACCCCTGAGGGACTGCAAATGCAAACTGACGCGGCGAAGGAGTTTGCTGATAAGTGGAGACTGTCTGCCAACGTTCAGAAGAGTGCCGTCATGGCATGCAACGAGGACAGGGAGGAACCAATATAACGTAGATGAAAGTGGGGGGGCGAGGAGCTTGCAGTGGTGGACCAATACACATACCTCGGAGTAGAGATCGCAAAAGAATGCTCGTGGAAAGCACACATGACCAAGGTTGCGGAAAAGGGCAAAGCACGAGCGAGCAGGGAAGCTACACCCAATACTCACAAACCGGCACCTCGATACAAGCATCAACTAGATGGCTTTGAAGAGCGCAATCGTACCGCCGCTAGAGTACGCCGGAGAAGTATGGGAAGAAAATATGAAGGCAGTCAAAGAGCTCGACGCGGCGCAGACGAAAGCAGCGAAAACTATCCTAGGATGCTCCAAGCGCACAAGCAATGCAGCCGTCAGGGCAGAACTGAGGATCCAATCCTTACGGTCGGGT